AGTTGAAGTCTACACATCTTGAAGTTGCCGAGTTTGAAAAACACTGGCCTAGCTGCTTTTAAAAAATTTAAGGCCAGGTCACTGCCCCTATTTCTGCTTCTTTCTTCAGTAAAAGGTTTCTTATCATCATCTACTGGATAAAAGCCTTTTATATTTCTTAATTACAAAAGATGGCAAAGCAATTATAAAAAGCTCTTCAAATGTTTTAAGAACAAGTCCTAAAGTGTCCTGTTTTGGAAAAATCACTCCCAATGAAGGAATTCTAACAGGTAACTCAATCCTTCCTGCAGCGAAGGTCCTTCGTTATCCTGGTTTCCTTCACATAGTCCTCTTTTAATTCTGCGTAAATTCCTCCAAAGGTGACAATGATGCAGCCATGCTCAAAAAAATAAATATTAAAAAAAATGATTACTTTGATTTGACTGATGTGGAAATGATCCAATTTAGGCCAAAATGAATAAGCCGTTTTTTCAACACTTGCCATCTCCCACTGACTCTGCCATTTGCCTTTGATTTCCCATTTCATTCACCATCTAACCGCAAAAGCTAAAGCCAATTATTTATTTATTTATTAGCCAATATCATTATTGCACCAATTTACCTAGCTATGTAATTCACCTTTTCATTCCATATAACCATGTGAACTGGGATCCAGAGCCAGGATCACCACGTTGGAATTCAGGCACAATATTTCATTTTCCTGAGCCATTTTATTGGCACTGTTGGCAAGCTCACAATTTTACAGCTGTCTCTGGATTTACAAGTCATTTCAAAGCCAGCACTTTTGCCACTGACACCCCTGTTCATTAAGATCGGAAAGAGAAGGCACCCAGCGGGTTCTTTCCCTTCCAAGAGTCACCTGCAGGGTCCACAGAATAGAGCCTCCTCAGTTGCTACCCCCCATCACTGGAACCTCATTCCTCCAACAATCAGATCAGCCCGGTGCTCCTGAGTTTTTGAAAAGCTATTAAGACCTGACTTTTGGCGTGTCTTCAGGACTTGATAGGTTAGATTGATTGATTGTAACAAAACAATCTTTAATCTTAAAAAAAAAAAGAAAATTAAGAAAATTAAAAGTACACACTAAAAATACAAAGTAAGAAGGAAAGAAAAAAATCTCTCTTAGTTTTATACTTATCAATAATCACTGGATTACCAATGAATTCACTATTATAACATGAACAACACAATATATTTGTGATGGAATGGAATTATGAAGGCCAGAGTCGGGGAGTGAAGAATCCTCTTTCGTCTCCTGAAGCGCGGGGAAGAGATAAGAGGATGAGGCTGGCACCTCCCTGAGGAATGCATGCTGTGTTTACTGACTGACCCTGGGAACTAGTTCCAGCCTGGGAAGATTCTTGATACAGGCTGTAGCTAATAAACCTTGCTGGATTGAATCTGCATGGTCTCCTGGAGTTCCCTGGGCCAAACTTGACAATATTATTGTAAGATATCACAGAATCTCTGCCGTAGTAACACGTATTGCTGCATCCTTTGATTAGTAGAAAATATTGCCTTTTCCAAAACAGATAGATCCCAACCATTCCTTGACCTCTGGAATAATACTGTACCACGTTTCCAATTTCTTAATGTAATTCTTTTTGCCACCCCCTCTCTCCCCCATGCTTGATACAGCGACAATGGGGGAACTGATAGGTTAACTTGTCCCTAACCTAAGGGCTATGGTTACAATATGGGAGGCTATATATAAGTCTTGATGATTGATAGATAGATATAGATAGATCGATGATGATTAGATAGACAGAGACAGGACACAGAGGTAGACAATAGACAGAAAAAGATGGTAGAAGATAGATAGATAGATAGATAGATAGATAGATAGATAGATAGATGATAGATAGATAAATAGATACCAATAGAGGTGAATATACGTAGCTCAGGGTTGAACTGTGGAGTCCTTGGGGTTCTCTGAGCAAACGTTTCATTACTTGGCTAGGTAACATCTTCAGCACACTTCAGTGCACGTTTGCAAGAAAAGAACCAAGCTCAGAGAACTCCAAGGATACCACAGATAGAGAGACAGACAGACAGACACAGACAGATAGATAAGACAGTCATTAGACATGGAGAATAAACAGAAACAGATAGATAGAAAATGACAGATAATAGACAGACAGACAGTGGACAGACAGAAAGGCAGGGGAGGGGGGTAAGGGGGGAGGGAGAGACTGAGATTTCCCGCAGGGGAAAGTCTGCATATGAATTGCTGCTAATAGAGCCTGCTTGGTGCATGTCAAGATCCTACACCTCTGCGTGTCTTGTTGTTCAATCGGACTGCTGCATCGGGCATGCACACGGCTCGGAATTTCCTAGGATTGGAGCGGCTCATCCGCGCAGCCAAAAAATAAACAGAAGCCGCCTCGGCTTGTGGAACTCCCTGCGCTTTCCCGCGCGGGGACAGCAAAGCGCGGCGCCCCCTTCGCCCGGGTCGGCTTCCCCGGAGCGCCCTGGAGGGAGCCCCCCGCCGCCCCCCGAGCGCCTTCTTCTCCCGCGGGGCTGTTCCCGTTTCCCCAGCCCGGCCGGGACCGGCGCCCGCCCTCCGCCCCCCG